CCCGTCGTGCTATTAACAAAAACAAAGTTAAATTTTAACTTATAGTTTTTTGTAATAATGAATTGTAAAAGGAAAGCAAAATCATGTCATTTGAGCTGATGTGAGATAAGCAAAACAACAACATTAGCACAATAACAAATATCCGGCAAACAGTACTCACAGACGCTTGAGTATTACAGGAAATTGGGTAATCAAATATAGCACTTCAAGTCGATACTTTCTGTACATGATAATTAAATGCAAGATGTGAGTGAGGATGCAACAGAAACCAACACCACATTTAATCACGAACATGACCCTAAATAAACTTTAAAGCTGTTAAAGCTGACCACGTTCCACATGAAATGGATGGCCATTAACATAAACGTCAACAAGCAATAAATATTACTAATACAAAATATTATTATTAAAAAATTAGCAATAAACCAGTTTTGATGATCGATGGAGAAGGCAGGCATAAATATCAATAACAAAAAGACCTCATAATTACATATTTTGGTGTTATTAGATATCAACTTGATTCTGCTTTAAACGCAAATTTGATAATTCTACCATCTTTCTCTTTCAATCTCGACTTCGGGTTCCCATCGGGGCAGATTTTTTAGGCAGAATACTACTAACTATTCACAAACATTTATAACTTAGAAATATACATAAGTACATGCCGTCACCGGAATTGTAATCGTCAACTTCTAAATTTATAAACAACCGCTCTTCCTACTGGGCTAACATTATTATATATTACCCTAATTATTAGTATAGTCGTGAAAATCCTAAAAACGAACAACCCCTTGATTTGGAAGACATGAACTTTCAAATCAAGGAGTTATTAAGCTGATAGTGTATAATGTGGAAACAAAAGCAGCTGCAATGCCACAATGCAAACAGTGGAATCAAAACTGTGTCAACTGGTCACCAGGAAGGCAAAAGCGGAGTTCTGCAGGAAGCCTTTAGTAATCAAAATAACAATTAGCATAATGAGTGCTAGACGACAGCGACACGATGCCGAGACGGGGCGGTCACGACCCTTGACGCAACCTCATGTCATTTTGTAACTCATCATGGATCGGGAGCCCTGCAATTTTTGGGGTGGCCATGATGGAGGAAATATTGGGGACGGTAATTTGAACATAATATTGAAAGATAACTAAGAAGTGGAATATGTTAGTAATGTGGACTGTTAAGATTTAAATTGTTTTGTTTGGAATCGCGAAATAAATTTAAAATTGCATTAAATCGCAAATAAGATTGTATTAGGTAATATTACAGGAAAACTTAAAATGAATATTACACTACTATCATAAAAACATTATAATTAGGAACGTGGCTTACTTGGTTTATCTACCCGAACTAAGTATGTGTAATTTACTAAAAATGCCCGCTAAACGCTCAAAAAGAGAGAGAGTCAAATAATAAACCCAATGTAAAAGAAATTCCTAACATTACAGTCGAGGTTTAAAGATGTATTATATAGAACAGTGTAATTTAGTACAATAACAACACAGTATGGTCTGCCTATGTATCAACCTCTCTTAGAAATGTGAGAACGAACAAATCTCCATTTCTAAAAAAGTCTACTGGGCAATTGTATCCAACTAGTAGCAGTAGAGCTCCTTGTGAAAGAGTTCGTCTAGGTAAGTAAGTACTGCCACTTTACCTATTTCTGCCGCCAAACAGTAATGTTAACATTACTATGCTCCGGTTTGGTGCTGGTGAAATTATTGTACTATGCTGGTCTCATAGTGACGGGCGCAGTAGTAGTGTCCCTTAGATCTTTGCGATTTAAAGCTCTGAGTACGGGCAGGCACGTAACTTACCGCCAGGCGCACGACATGTCCGTCCAGTCACTTGATGTCATAAAAAAAAAACTTGAAAAGCATGATATTCCATTCGATAAACAAAGGCAACTAAATTGACTGTCATTAAAAAGAAAACAACAGACACCCTACTAATAAGTAATAACAGATTATCGTCGAAGAATCTGTACTGTAGCAAGGTTAAGCCGCGGTTGCAAACCATAATAGCCAGTGAACTTTATGCTTCATTTGCAAACCATCTTAATGATAGATAGCAGATGTTCAATGGAGATATCGTAATCACTTGCGAGCACGCCCCATAGGAACAACTCTGCTAATATTTTGGATACTAATTTATTTTAGTGATATTTGGAAACACGATCGATGAACTAATTGCTAAGGTTATATAATTTGTATTAAGAAGACCTTAACTTTACGATTAAGTATTTGAAAGACAATACAGCGTTTTCGGATTTGGAACAAATAAAATTTTATCAAACTGTAAGATATAAAAATTCGCGTGATTTTTACAAATAGTCATGGCGGTTAAGTAATTTATAGAATTTTATTGTATATCTTACGCACCAGTGCGGTATGGAAAGACATTCCTCTTACAAATCGTAAGGAGATGATATTTTATCCGTTATTATATTACATATTATATTTATACTAAAATAACATTGTATTTGATCAAAGATATCGCAGATATAATCTCTAACAACTATGATCAATAAATACATCATAGTCAATGACAACAGACATCACTGTTTCGACAAAACAAAAGCCGTGACAAACGAATAGATATTATATTAACTTGATTGTCAAGATAACGATCTATTGGGTGATCTATAAGGTGATATCGATCAACGAACATCGATAATTTAATCGCGTTAAGATCACATTGGCTAAGAAAGCTAAAGGTTAAAACGAATGTGTTTGGTAATCAGTAACTAGTCATGAGGTTTATGCTTGCAATAATGTATGTGTTAGAGTAATTGTTAATGACACTCTGGGTCATATGTATTTTCAGAACAATCTTTTAAGCTGTGCGCTATCAAAATCGATTAGATGGAATGTTTGATGGATAATATGGAAATACATATGTAATTGACTAGATTGTACCCCAGTATTGTGAGAAATTGTCGAGTTTTGTTAGTTACAGCGTCAATAAATTTACTGAAGGAAAAATGTACTGACCAGTTTATTTCACAATCGAAGCCATCATCGCGCCACATTCTTTCTCAAATATTCTCTCTCATGAATAGTAATTGGCTCTTAGGCACGTCTTTAAGTACTTCTCATTAAGATATGTATTTAATAAATTAACAAAACCTACTAAGTTTCATAAGCGATATCTTCTTGAATTTTTTAGTCGTTTCAAATAACGAACTTTAAAAGTTTAATGATAATTGCGATGACTTTTTTCGTTACGAAACTATATGTTTTTCAATTCAGGGTCGTTGATTTCCGTGCTACGTGTGATCAAGTAACTTGTTTAAGTTTTTGTGATGCCTGTCATTAGATTAACCAAATTAAAATGATGCAAACGCATCGGCGCTAGATTTTTTTCCTTCATTACACCTGAAATCGTGGTTGTGCTAAAAATGATGTTGCAGTAAAGTCATTGAAGCGCAAGATGCGTACTTGAAGCTTAATACACTGTAGACATTAAGTTTATAACGACTAACATAGTTAATTGGATTTTGTGCCAAAAAAAACCATCAAAGTGGATGCATCACGAGCGCCATTATTCTAATACATTAATGAATAAACTTGTGTTTCCGTCTTTACTGAAGTTAATGATAGTTTTACTGTTAAAGAGACTTATATCTTACTTATTAGAGATCGAAAACATCAATCATGCAGTGTAAACTATACTGTTACTTTTTCAAACACTTATTAACGCTTAATCGACTTGAGCCGGATAGAAAAATCTTTGTGTCGGTGTAGTACGAGTGAAAAACAACGTTTGGCTTCCGCTTTGGGTCACCAACGAGACACATGGACGTAAATTTTTTTCTGATGGGTTTAATGTGTTTCCATTCGATAAGTGTAGCGATTCTCTTAAACCCCAGGTAAATGACGTAACGTACAATATGCAACATAATTGTTTGCATTAATAAAACAAATTTTTACCAAAAACACAAAGATCTGTAACAAATGCATAGAGAAATTCGTAAGGCTGCCTCGATCTATAACTCAGTTGGTAAAGCGATCGAAAGAATTTTTCTTTTGTTCTTTCTTGTGTTCGATATTTGTATTAATAATTATAACTAGTGGAGTAATTTAACAAAAATATTTAATATCACGGTTGTAGAACATCGTTATGTTTAATAAAAGTCAATATTATATTGGACATAACTATTTGATTAGTAATAATCTCTTAGTTGGCTGTGATCATGGTATTTGTAAAAACCTGCAATGTTGTTTTGTTTGAAAAAACAAATATACGCTATTTTACTTCCAAAAACCTAAGAACTCGATAAGTGGCAACTTTTAGTAGGAAATTTATTTATTTATTTTTGCACAAAATTTACATATTTATACGTCCAATTATGATTTCAGTTATTTTTTAATATTTTAGATTTTCAATTGTCATGTTCGTGCACGTCTTTCAAATTTAGTTTTTCAATTTAGTGTACACTTAAAGTGTACTAAGTGTGTACTCCATAATTCTCTGTAACTGTATCGTATACCTCTTCGTTTATATAGCAGCTATTTTTGTTTTATTGTAGTATTGCATGTAATGTACATTATGTTTCTTTATGTGTGATTCTCAGTACTTCGCAAGTTTGAAAAATTCAATTGAAGCTTTCAACAACAACAACGTAACATTTATCATTACAAATCTTTTGTCAATAATGATTACCAAAATACCCATTCAAATTATATGCTTTGAACCTTTGAATACTAAATAGAGAACGCAACAATTGTGTGTGTGTGTTGATGTGAAATGTAATTAAGCTAAATTTGCTCTACTGTTGACATTTGTTGGCTCGAAAACAAAAAAAAGGATGTTATGCTTGGTCCTATGTAAAAAATATCTAAATTTAGATTTATTTTATCGCGGATATTTACTATTAATATACTGGTATATTCACTAAATAATGCCTTTTGAATATGTGTAGTGATGTGTTATTATGTGATATTTTTGACATACATTTTTTTCTTTCAGATAAGGAATATATACAAAAATGGACTCACCATCATCAACGATACCAGCAGCCTCATCACGGGCGTTCTGCTCCAAAGACTTGAGAATAGCTTCAGGAATCGGAGGAGGAGTAGGCAGATGAGCACCCTGAGGCCTGTATCCGTTTTCATCAGCGGTATAGGTGATGGAGTAATCTTGGCCATCATCACCCTTGTACGCGAAACTACCTTGAGACTGGACACCATTGGTGGCCACACCTTGGGCATCAGCTCGAATACCGTTGGATGTTTCGAAATCATAAGCAAATCCTTCAGCAGTCACTTCGCTGTTCTGTCTCAGGATTTGAGCGCCGGCATCAGCAGGGTTTGATCTGCCTCCGAAACCACCGGAGGGGCCACCGTAACCTCCGGATGGGCCTCCGCTGTATTGTTGAGCAGGAGCATTGTAGGCGTTGCCAGAGTGTTGGGTTCCACTGAAGCTACCAGATCCTCCGAAGCCAGCTCCGCTCTGGCCAAAGCCTGTAGAAGCAACTCCAAATCCACCAGCTTTGGGTCCTAGTCCGCCAGCAGCACCGTTGTATCCAGCGCCAGCATTTCCTCTGGGAGGCAAATATCTGTTGTCCAAGCGGTCAGCGGCGCCGATGGCGAGGATCGCGGCTACTATCAGCTGTAAAATTCAAACAAATCCCGTTACATTTCTTTAGAAACCCAAAACTGAAGAATAAATAACTACTTTACGAGGTGTTGAACCTATAGTATCGATATCTCCACTGAACCCGTTTTTTGTTTTTTTTTCGAATTTTGTCTTTTGTTTCTTTTAGTAAATGAATAATTATGGATGTTTACTAAAATAACAGAAAATGACCAAAAAATGAAGTTGCCGTAGTGTTCATTGGAGGTATCGGTGTAAGATCTTCAAAATTGTGATTTAATTATGTGTTAATTAAATAATAAATAACTTTAACACAATTACTCGTATAACTAGAAATTCGAGTGCTTTAACAAATAATTTTAAACTTATCGTTCATCTGTGTATTCTTTGTTTAAAGATAGAAATCTTAAATGGTAATTTATGTGCACAACCGATGATTCAAAGCTTCATAGAAACGATTCGCTGTATGGGCTCGTAAGATGATGCTAAATGGACGTCATTAGAGGATAAGTATAGACTATTTGTAGGGAATGTTAATACATCCCTTCGGAAAAGTTAATTTCTTGACAAATATAAATAATTCCGAAGACGTTTTAAGCCAAGGAATATGATGATTATGTATCCGCATTTTTTTTAATAGTGTACGAAATCTTGTTATATGAATAAAATCCCTTGAAGTTATCGACTTCTGTGATGACTATTTCTACTATGATAACCATAAAATATAATATGCTGTAGTAAATTAAAAAAAACTACAACAATATCGCGACTTGAATAATAAAGTGATCACAATGAAATAAACATCATTTTTTGGAAAAATAATGTACAGTTCTTTTACATTAAATTGTTCAGTATCTCAAAATTGAATTATTATATTATGAACATTATGTAACGACTCGGAATGGAAAAACACTTATAATATCGCACAAAAAAACCCTCGTAACTCAAAATTGTTGGAATTGTGAAAACACGATTTGTAAATTCAAAAAACCAATGAATATAAATTCTAGTTTATAAGTGGATAAGAAATTATTATGTATGGTTTGACAGTATTTGATTTATTTTGCGATTTGTAAACAACGCAACCCAGTGGCAGGACGAAGCGGAATTAAAAATCCTTCTGATCCTACTTATAGAACTTTTATAAGGGAACAGGGATGTACTCACCAGTTTCATTTTTAAATGTAAATATATATATATTTGTATTAGAGGTTCTTAGAGATGCACAAGATGCGATGGTGAACGTTAGACTGTGATGGGTCAGGAGGCATCTACGGTTATATACCACGCTAGTTGGAACGGTTATGGCAACATTATTTGTATCACGGTCACATTGCATAGGTGTATCACTGTAAGGTTGTTCTTCCTAGGTTGAAAGGTTTCGGCAATTCCTGATTGGGTGGATTTTGAAAGTTGAAAGTTTGAAGGCTCGCGCCGGTTTTTCTTTTCGATTTTTCTGACGCGGAAAAACAAAAGGCGATCACGAAAATTACTATAATCGAATTGTTACAGATAACGTAGTCTCTTAGTCGTATCTATTAAAAACAGATAACGTAATTCGATTCTTATACAGTTGGTTAACAAGGTGTTTAGAATAATAAACATGTAAGAATAATCTCTTGAGTTGTAAAGAATGCCGTGCTAAAAAATGCCAATAAAAAAACATGCTTAATTTTTTTTTATCAGTATGGAAAAAGCATCGAATACATGTCTTTTTGTCTTATAATGATAATAATAATAACGCACATGCTCATAGCCCCGCACTAGGGAAACCCTGTGTCGCGGGTGCCGTGGACAGAACACCACAAATTACACCCAAACTCACGAGATAAATAAATGTAGGCCATACAAATATTTCTTCCGATTCGAATCGAACCCGGAACCTCCGTGTGGCAGACCGTTCGGCCACGGAGGCAAATGGGCTAGCGTTTACTAAATACCCTTTGTGTTCCCGTACTTAACATTTGACGCGTCCAAGTGTCAAAAAAATACAATCAAAAATAATCCGATTTGGTTAGAAAACACGTTAAGTTAATTAATGCACAATTATTTGGAATGTGTTTTATATAACTAGAAACGTGGGTAAATTCTCTATCAAATAAGATATATTTCAATGACATACATGACTTAGGTTGGTAGAAATATAATTAGTTATTTTTTTACGTCAACCACATTTCACACAATGATTTGACTGTATTTTATTGACAAAATACAAATACACAACATTGAAATACAGTAGTTTACGCGCTTATTTCAATTGTTTGTATCACTTACAACTTTTTCACAATGTCAACTTATAATTTTTTTTTTTTTCCTTTCACATGTAATGCAATTTAATACGGAGATTAACCGACATTTAAATAATGTTGTACACCTTAACTGGTACACTATAGAGCACAAAATAATCTAACATTAAGACCTTATGTAATTACCTATAGTTATGAAATAAATTTATTCTTATTTTTATTTTTATTCTTAATAATAATAATATATAATAATAATAATAACTCACACACTCAACATAGCCCCGCACTAGGGAAACCCTGTGTCGCGGGTGCCATGGACACACATATAGACAACCACAAATTACACCCAAACTCACGAGAGAAATAATTGTAGGCCATACAAATATTTCTCCCGGTCCGGGAATCGAACCTGGGACCTCTGCGTGGCAGTCCGGCATGGTAACCGTTCGGCCACGGAGGCAGTTAATAATATAATAAATAAATACTAAATCGGACCTGTAGTATAATAAAGCCACATGACGTCATCATACCTCAAAGTGCTTTTATCACATGACAGTCATAAAAATTATACGTACTATGAGAACCAAAGTGAATTTTTATGACTAAAAAAGTTATCCACTAATTTCGTTAGTACAATCTTAAAATGTCACTACTGAAAAGTTGTTCTTTTGCATATGTAGATTGATTACAATAAGAGTGAAAAATATAAAATAAAAAACTATTGTTTACAATAATAGAATATACCTTTGGTTAGAACCAATTACAGACAAAATTCCTTTGTATTGCGAGCCTCCTCTGCGTTTAATAAATGGTGTGTGGACTGTGATCTTGATCTGTTTTGTACTGGTATAGCTGCAGCGAAACGGCGTTTAACTTTAAAAATCTTTGAATGTATGTATCATCAGATATGATAGTTGTAGCATCAGCTGTTTTTGTTAATTTTTATATGTGGGAACTCATCATCAGAATTCGATTATTTATTTAATTTTCTAAGTGATTGTTTGTCTGTCAGTTCTCCGACAAGAAGTTAAATAAATAAATAAATAAATAAATAAATAGCTTCAAAGTTTATTGAAGATAATTATAAATTTAAAAAAAGTTTAATGACATATCTATTTGCCAAGTTATATTGAAATCGGTAACCGGAAAGTGAGTGACATCCAAAAAACCGGATTCCTCAGATAATTTGTCACTTTTGAATGTGGATTTTTTATTTGAATGGGACAACTACTGAGGTCCCTATCCAATAAAAAAGAATTATCGAAATCGGTTCACATTAATGTCGGAACGATTACTCCGTAACATACACACACGCACAAAAAAGGTACAGTCAAATAGAGAATCTCCTCCTTTTTAAAAGTCGGATAAAAAGGTTAAAATCCTCTAAAATGCAGGTTTTCAGCTGTACTATACACGGCTCTGGAGGGTAACCTATCACAAACTCGAAAATTTTTTGTCCGAAATTTTTTGTTCCAATTTCAAAATCATTATTACACCGAAAACCGAATTATAACGAAACAGTTGTTCTTTCAGGATATGTTGAATGTTTATCGCAAAGACACGATTAGGTTCGGTTAGGTTAGGTTAAGTTAGATTTAAAAGAAAAAACATTTTCCTCTCAAAATTACTTTCGTGGTTATGAAATTTCAACTAAACGTTATTTCTGGAAAATGTCATTTCGGTTTACTGATAGGTAACCTTTTGGAGATACCGTATACTTTTTTAAATAAAATATTTAACAGATAAATGTCATCATTACTGTTTTCCGGTTCAGAAGGGTAAGCGTGCTCGTGAAATTACAGGCACATGGGACTTGTGAACTTATATTATATATTTATGTCTCAGGGTGATGGGCGCAGTGGCAGTGCCAGTCAGAACTTTGCGATTCAAAGGTCGTGAGTGGCACTGCAACTGTTGTAGACAGTCGTGTAGCAGGCGCACGACTTGTTCGTCCCGTCACTTGATATTATAAAAACAAATTCCAAAAAAAAAAACATTTAAACGCCATACGTACTTGCTGTGGAGTTAAATGTACATGTGGTGTAATATATATATAATTATATATATTAGAAATTTTGACTATATGCCAAATATTGTTACAAAACTTCACACGCACTTCAGAATGGGGTGGTTTGCATATTAATGCATTATAATTAGACATAACTGCGACCACGACTCCGTAAGAATTATACGAGACCGTTATTTTTAACATTCATTATATTTATACATTATTTTGTGACACGGATATTTTTGGGTATCTCATTGAGCAGATTTAAGGTAAGCAACCACAACATACTATTTAGTAACTATGCGACTTAAATAAAAAAATAAAAATAAAAAAGACTTTATTCTTCAACACTACAACGATACATAAAAAACTTAAAGTAGTCGCTAAAATCTAAATATGTGTTGAAGAAAAGGTAACAGCCTCAGCAGGTTTGCGAGTCTGGTTTTCAGGCTGCACCTTGTATATAATGTAAATTGCAAGTCAAATATTTTTGTCGCTGTAGACACCGCAGTATGCAGTTTCTAATTATGTATATAATCAAGAAGCCTATATATACACTATTATATACACAGTACTGCAATTCCAGTTATAATTTTATACAAAACTACAAATGATACACGCATTACATACATATATACAGTAGAACAGGCAGATAATGAAATGTGGGTAATTGTATATTATGAATCATATTTTTATTTTATTTTTTAACTTACTAGGCAGAGTCTGCCTGCCAAGCCTGGGGTCGCTAGTTTATATTCCGGTTAATTAGCTTTACGTACTTTGTTTAAGCACCTATCATTTAGAATGTGTTTCTACTATTTAAATGTAATAATCGGTGCTCGTCGTCAATAGCACAGTCTTTTTCTTTCCTTTATATTAAACAAAAAAAACGGTTGATGACTTTATCAATTCAGCCGTGATAATGGGATTCATAAAGACAACAAGACATTGTTTATTTGAAAAAAAAAAACAAATATACGCGATTGAAAATTCGAAAAAAAGTCCAATGCTGGTGAAATTACAGGCACATGGGACTTGTCAACTTATGTCTCAGAGTGATGGGCGCAGTGGCAGTACCCCTCAGATCTTTGCAATTTAAGGCCCTGAGCGGCTCTGGGTCTGCTATGGACAGGCGTGCCGCTTACCACCAGGCGTACGTCTTGTGCATTTCGTCACTTGGTATTATGAAACAAAAAAGCAATCGCGAATACCTAAGGACTAGAAATGTTATTACAATTAAATTGCATTTCACATAAAATTATGGCTATGGAATAACGGAGTTTTCTCTAAACGGCATTACTATGCGAAATAAGACTCCTATTACCATAAAATCTAAAATATCTACGTGAGCGTTTTCAATACCGTCAGGCTATGGGTGACCGCCTGCGTTCTGGCACCAATTTGTCCCTCGTCCTTCCACAACACAGTTCCCAAAAATATTCGAACTCGTTCACGGTAAATGCTGCCCGTATGTGGAACCTTCTCCCGGTCGAGGTCAGACAGTCGCCTTCGGTTCG